AATAATAAGCACAAATGCAGAGACTGTAATTGTTGTTAAAGTAAATATTATTTATTAACAAACATGATCCCAATTTTCACCAAAATTTGTATTTTGGGGGGATTTTTGTTATTGTTTTTGTTTCTTAGCTTAAACTTTTGCAACAATTACAGTCTCTGCATTTGTGCTTATTATTATTGGTTGACAGTTTATTCCAATTTAGATGATTAATATTGTGCCAAATCATGACAAAATAGTCTTAAAAATAAATTAGTGGTCTAAAAAGTGAGACTGTGACTAATTTTTTGTGTGACTGACACAAATGTACAAATATGAACTAGAAAATTCAACACTGGAAAAGTACATCTTTAATACGTTTCTACTAACCCAGAGCCTGTTTTTCCAGTTTATGTAACCAGAAATGCACAACAATTTTTGTGCATGTTCTTGGCCATGATTCATCAAATAAAATGAGATGGTAATGGAAATGTAATTACTTGATAAATTGTTGGTATGTTTTCAGACAACTACTGAAATTTGTTGCTTTCTTCTTTGAACCTATTAGAAATACACATAATTCAAATGGAGGCGAGATTTAAGGTTAATTTGATGTCACACTAACAAACTATGAAGGACTAAAGTGTACACAGACTTTAGTAATTAACCAGTGAACTTTACTGTACCATGACCTTCTCTCCCCGTTTCTTGGCTTTGTGGCTCTTGGCTTTTCCCTCAACTCAAATCCAGATCAATACATTTGTATTTTGCAGTGGTCCAATGTACAACCATTATCCTATTACATCCTGAGTATTTTGGGTATCACCTGAAGGATTACACATGTTCAACCTAAACTAAATAGTCAGCTCTGGATGTGAATGCACATGAGTCCCATGTTCAGGGTTGGAAACCCCTGATGTGATGTTTTTGTTTTGTTTTGTTGTGCCCTGAGGTACTACTCGGACTTTTTTGGACAAGTTGATGTAGAATCCAAAACTTTTCCTAGCATGAAAACGAGCATTTCTGGTAACTGTTCTCTTTTGTCTTAGTTTTCTTGTCTTGTAAAGGCACATGCTGTGGTCTACACACACTTTGTGTTTTTCTATCACGGTTCCTTGATTTCTCTTTTGTTGCTCAGCCGAAGCAGTTTTGCAATGCTCTATTAACAATACAGTAAATTTTCTGATGTTCTGACTCTCCTCCTTTCATCGGATGGGTAAGAAAAGCAAAGGAAAAGAAAGAAAGAAAGAAAATCACAGTAGACTGGCATCTTTGGATGGTCGGAGTATGTGCCCCCGGTAAACTCTGTGATGGGTTTGAAATATAAACAACACAGTCAGAATGTCTTTACAAATCTCTGCTGGTGGAACAGACAGAGCTGAAAACACACAAGTGTATCAAACCCTCCATTATGTTTTGAACTGTCGTAAACAGCTTGACAGACTGGTGAAATATGGAGTGTGTTTTGTTTAACGCTGCCTACAAAGACTCCCAGCCGATTTTAACCCCCCACCCACACTGTACAGAAGTCGGTACAAAGCTGTCCCAGTCGATGTGATGAGGCGTCTATGAGTTTAAATCTCTGCAGTTGTCTTGTGTGAGAACACTTTTTTTTTCTCTGCAGAATATATTACATACTAAACTTAACCCTGGCATCCAAGACTAAACTGAGGCATTGTGACAGCACTTCTGCTGGGACCTTAGTCCCCCTTCAGTCTGTCTGGCTCCACTCCTGCTTGCAGGTCAGGGTGCTTAATTCATGTCCAGAGACATTGTTCTTTCATTCTCCATCGCACCAGCCAGACAAAACCTTCTTCTGAGAGCGAACGATATGGAAAACAATCGTTCTCCAATGGACTCCATAATAATCCTCCTCCCAAACTGCAGCTGAGGAACACTGCTGGCCTGGATATCACCCAGACACTGAGAATAAACTGTAGAAATCACAATACATGGCCTTCTTTCTCTTTTTACCTCCATCCTTTATAAACCAACTCCTATCGCACAGTGACCCCCGCGACCCAAAAAGGAAGAAGCGAGTAAAGATAATGGATGGATGGACGGTTCATCCTTAGTTTTATGCCTTGGGATAATTGAGCTTCCTGTTCGTACTTGCATTACAGCAACAGTTTCTTCCTGTATCTTTGTCCTGATCTTAAACAGTAAACTGAAGTTGACATTGTCCAAGGTGGCCAGAGTCTTTTGACAACAAATCGTGACTCAACGATTTGCTCCACGTTAGGTCGTGCACTCTACAATGTGTTGATTTGAGGGTTTATTGCAGAGCTTCTTGTGCTGTATACGATGCAAGTCTTCTACAAGTTATATACGTTTACAGCCATACCACCCTGAACTCACCCAGTCCTTTCTGATCTCAGAAGCTAAGCAGGGTCAGGCCTGGTTAGTACCTGGATGGGACACCGCCAGGTGCCATAAACTCACCAAGGGGCTAAGAGGGTGTAGAGCAGGGCAGCCGACTTGGGCCCAGAAAGTCGCAGGTTCAACTCCCTGTCATGCCCACATGTCATGGTGTCCTTGAGCAAGACACCTAATCCCTAATTGCTCCCCGGCTGCTTACATAGCTGCCCACTGCTCCACCTGGGTGTATCTCAGTTGTAATAGATTAAATGCAGAGAACTAATTTTGTCGTTGTATGGCAACATACAATGATGACATGTGACTGAATTAGTCGGATGTTTAACAGAATCTACCCTCAGTATTTTGAACAAAATGCTCATTGTGTATGAATGTATGACTGTGTATGATTCTTATGATCCTTTCTTATAATTGTGTGAAAGTTTATGAAGCATTCACACTATTGTGATCCATTTTTCTTCAGTACGTTTTTTGGCGCGATTCTTGTCCCACAATTTTTGAGCTATTTCAACAAATCATGAATCAAAACATTCAGCTCTTTTAGGTCAATCCTGCTATGACTTTTGGTATTGGTGCAACTTTAGCTTTTTTAAATATTTAACCTTTTCTGACACTTTTTTCTTCACAGAAAATGAATTGAGCTGATTTTACATCCTTCATGTCTTTAGATCTGTTTCCAACCTTTTACTGCTCCTTTCACACATTTTGTTCTGGTTCAGCTACTTTCAGCTTCCTGGTGCAAATTGAAAAAAAATTTTCAGCTACTTTCAGCTAATTTCAGCAATTTTTTCAGCTTTTTCAGATCCTTTCAGCAAGTTTTGGATTTCTTTTGTAGTTCAGCTAATATATAGCTGTTTTATGCTAATTTATGCTTTTTCAGCTAATTCCATATTTTATTGCATTCATTTCAACTTTTTTCTGCCTAATTCAGTGAAAATGTGCTCTTTCCACCTTCTTCTTGTACTTTCAGCTTCTTTCTGCTTGTTTTTTTTTTTTTTTTGGCTACTTTTTAGCTGCTTTTTGCTAATTTCAGCGTTTTTCAGTTAATTTCCACTTTTTGGGGCTCATTTCTGCTTCTTTCGGCCTAATTGGGGCAAACGTGTTCTTTCTGCTTTCTTCTGCTAATTTAAGCGTCTACTTTTTCAGCTAGTATTTGAAGCATGTTTTAGCTCATTTCAGCTGATTTCAGATGAATTCAAGTTTTTTTCATGGTAATTTCTGCTACTTTCAGCCTAATTAATAATTTCTGGTAATTTCAACTTATGCGCTTTTAAGCTTTTTTCTGCTTGTTTCAGCCTTTTTTTTTTTTTGCTATTTGAACTACTTTTTAGCTGTTTTGTGCAAAATTTAACTAATTTCAGCTCATTCCAATTTATTCTGGTAGTTTAAGCTTTTTTACGCCTTTTCAGCTACTTTTCAGCTATTGTTTTGCTAATTTCAGCAAATTCCTAATTGTTTTTGCTAATTTCTGCTTATTTAAACACAATTCAGCAAATAAGTGTTCTTTCTGATTTCTTCTGCTAAATTAAGCTTTGGCTTCCAGTTCAGCTACATTTCAGCATGTTTTTAGCTAATTGTAGCTGTTTTTCAGAAATAAGCATTCACACTACATTTTAGCTTTAAATACAAATTCTCTCGTCGCTCTTTAGTTACGACCAACTGAAGCTTGTTGTATTTGAGCTGTGTGTCTAGATTAACTCAGAATCTAAAATGGCTTTGATTGTAAATAATAGATGGATGGATGTGAAACACACCCCCCCCCAAGAAAAGCCTAGTTCTGGTGCAAGACTGGTGTAGAACTAAGTACTTCAGTGCTGTAGGGTGAGCCAGTTTGGGGCCAAACCAAACAGGAAGAAAAGTGCACACAAAAGAAAAAAGAAATTAAATTTTAAACGTAAGAAGGAACTAAAATATAAAATTGAACAAAGTCACTTGGGGAGAAAAGTTTGCAAATATCAATATTAGTAAAACATTTGAGGAATGTTGAACTCTGGTAACATTTAAAGGTGCAGCGTGCTTTTAAGGGTCACTAATGTGTAATAATGACATTTTTTTAGGAACCAATAAAGTAACTAACTGTAGGATGTATTCTGAAAATAAGACTTCTGGGACTTGAATGTTTTTTGTTGTTGTAGATGTTTTCTGTCTTGGTTTTGGTTCAGTTTTATTTGTGCTACGTCTTTTAAAATAGTCTGAACAGTAGTGCTGATCTTGTCTGTGGGATCTGAAACAAAAAGAGCTGCACTAACAAACCACTGCTTCTCCCCTCAATATTGACAGTCTCTGTGTGTGTGTGTGTGTGTGTGTGTGTGTGTGTGTGTGTGTGTGTGT